CGAACGAGAGTGAGAGGAGAGGAGGGGAGGGGAGGGGAGGGGAGGGGAGGGGAGGGGAGGGGAGGGGAGGAGGAGGGGAGTGTTGAGATCTGTTGGCAGAGCGTCATTGCTTCCAAGGACTTTGAGATCGAGGCGCTCAAGTCAGCGGGAGGAGGAGAGCATGAAGGCACCGGAGGAGTCTCGGCGCAGAAATTCGTGGACGTGAAGGAGGAGCTGGACAGAGAGCGCATCCTGAGGAAAGAGGTGAGCGGGAGCAGGAGCGGGAGCAGGAGCGGGAGCAGGAGCGGGAGCAGGAGCGGGAGCAGGAGTTAGCAGAGTTGACAACGATCTACAGGCGGAGAACCGCGTGAAGTTGTTGGAGGAACGGCTGCAGGAGCGAGAGACAGAGTTCCAGGTGAAGGGGTGGGGCAGAGGAAACTGTGGGGAAGGAGGGAGAAGGGGTGGGTGTGGGAGAGGAGGGAGGAGGTGAGGTCTGACTGGGAGAGCAGGATGAGCTCGATGAATTGCGCAACGAGGTCGATAAGAAAGATTTCATAATTGCGCAGAAGGACCAGGAGCTCGACAAGGTTCCCCACCCCCCATCTCCTCCCCCTCCCCAACCCCCTCTCCTTCCCCTCCTTCCCCTCTCTCCTTCCCTTCCCCCTAGCCCATCCCCTCTCCTCTCCTCTCCTCGCCTCGCCTCTCCTCGCCTCGCCTCGCCTCGCCTCGCCTCTCCTCTCCTCTCCTCCCCTCTCCTCTTTTCCTCTGGTATCCTATCCTATTTCACCATACCGTCTCCTTCCCTTTTCCCGAGCTCTCTCTCCCTCACCCCCTCCTCTCCCTCCTCTCACCTTCTTGTGTTGCAGGCAACTCTGAGCTTGAAGGATATCGCAGAAAGATCTTGTGCCGTTCCAGGCCTCAACGAGGTCACAAGCTCGTCCCCCCTCCCCCTCCCCCTCCCCCCCTCCTTTCCCTCTCTCCTACTCCCTCCCTTCCATCCCCTCCCTTTCCTCTCCATCCCCAACTCTGCTCGCAGGGCTCTATCTGGGTCTTCAAGGAGCAGCTCCGGAGGGGGGCAAGAGCTGGCGGCCAAGGGGGGTGAAGCCATTGGGGAGGAGGAGGAGGAGGAGGAGGATAAGGAGGAGGAGGAGGAGGAGGAGGAGGGAGTTTCTGAGAGCAAGAGGTACAGGTAAAGGGAACGGAATCAGACCCGGAAGACTCTGTCAAGAGGTTTGAATCTCATGGATTATGATGATGATGATGACGATGATGATGGAGATGATGATGATGATGATGATGATGATGATGGAGATGATGATGATGATGATGATGATGATGATGATGGAGCCGGTGGTGGTAAAGATGTTGAGCCTGACGATTGTGATCAGCTTGCAAGATTGTATCTCCTCATTCTCGGAGAAATTCTCGGAGAAACTGCAGGTAATCCTCGCTGGACGGGGTTGAGGAGGAGGAGGAGGAAGAGGAGAACGAGAGGAGCAGGAGATGGGAGAGGAGAACGAGAGGAGGAGGAGGAGGAAGAGGAGGAGAACGAGAGTGAATCGTAGTGGCAGGTGCAGCCTGACGGAGAGAGAGAGAGCGGGCTGATGAGCATGTCGGGCTCCTACGGTCATCGCTACAAAGGTGGACAAGTCGAGTAGACATAAGACGGGGAGGAGAAGTGACGGGGATCAACAGAGTTGGAGGAGGAGCTGCGATCAGCGAGAGAGGAGATGACCAACACTGAGGGCAAGGTAAGGTGTTGAGATGCGGTCGCTGGTCGCTGACAGGGATGGTCCGAAGTATCGAAGCTTGCTGGAGGAGAAGATCGAGAATGTGGATGATTTCGTCAAGAACCGAATGATGGAGGTGAGAAGGAGGAAGGACAGGATTGGGGAGGAGGAGGAGGGAGCGAAGCAGGAGCGAGGGAGCGGGGATGCGGGTGAGGGGCGAGGAAAGAGCAGGAGGGAGGGAGGGAGTGAGGAGCAGGAGCGAGCGACTGAGCATGGAAGTGAAGGAGCGGGCGGGGTGGGGGAGGGGGGGAGGGGGTGCGGCAGCCTTGAGGAGGCCCAAATGACGGTGGTCAAGGCGGAAGAGCTGAACGCCAAGTTGAAGAAGAAAGCAAAGGAGGTGAAGTTCTTCCAACATGAAAGTCCTACCTCAGCCTCTCCTCCTGCCCCCTCCCCCCCCCACAAACCCTCTTCGGTCCTCTCCGCTGACTGCTGCTCATTTTGAAACAGGACGCGAAACTTTTGGAAGCCAGAGAGCTTGAAATCCAGGTGAAGCGAAGGGGCGAGAGCGTGAGAGGACACGGCGAGGAGTAGGGGAGAGAAGAAGTGGGGGGAGCAGGAGTTGTTTCCAACTTGTCTTCTCCAGATCTTTGAGAAGAGACTCGTCAAGAACACTCAAAGAATCAAAATCTTGGAGCTTCTCCTACAGGTATTTCCTCCTCTTCTCCTCCCTCCTTCTCTCCCTTGCCCTCCCCTCCCCTGCTCTCCTGGTTTACTTCTTCGCCTTCGCTCTCCTTACCACTTCCTGTGCTGCTCTGCTGCTTCGTCTCCTTGCCTTCAAACGTTGATCTCGTCGTCTGCGTCTCATGCGGGTCTGTAGGATACGAAAGCCAAGTACGAGCAGATGCGGCTGCAGGAAGGAGCTTTTTCCCACGATCAAGAGCGAAGGTTGCTCCTCCTCTGCTGGCCATCCCTCCTCCCTCCTCCTCCTCCTCGAGTGTCCTCCCTTCCTCTCCCTCTGTCCTCCCAGGCTTTCCCCTCCCTCCACCTCCTCTCTTCCCTCGAGGTCGTCACAGCTGCTTCAGGGGAGCTCGCATGGTCAAGGGAGCGCATCGACCCATCCAGGGCGGCAAGAGGGAGTCGCTTCAGAAGCTGAACCAACTGCAAGAGGGAGTGGTGCAGGACACCAAAGACAGGTGAGGAGGGGAGAGAAGCGGGAGGGAGGGGAGGGGAGGGGAGGGGAGGAAACACTTTCTCACGTCATGACAGCCCGGTCGAAGCTGTTCGGGCATTTATCAAGAGGATTGCAGGAAAAGAATGAGGAGGAGGATGAAGAGGAGGAGGAGGAGGAGGAGGAGACAAAGAATGGAGATAACGGGCGGAGATTCATTAATGGCAAAAAATACAAGAGAGGAGGGAGCAATGAGGACTATGCGCTGGTCATAGGCATTGGCGTCTCGCCAGCCATCAAGCCTCTGACAAACTCATACATGATGAAGAAGATGGCGTTTGAAAGCCCAAGATAGCCAACCTGTCAATGTACCATCAGTACAAGAGCTTGAAGAGAGTTGTGCGAACACAACAATGTCCATATCATCATTCTCTCCATATTATCATCTCTCCCTATCTTCTTCTTCATCATCATACCATCTCCATACACACTCTCATCTACATCGTCATCATCTCCACCTCAATCATCATCATCATCATCATCATCATCATCGGGCTCACTGTGCATGCACATCATCTCACCCGCTGTGGGGCTCCTGAGAAGAGTCCGCGTACTCCTCCTTCCTGAAGAATGTTCCTGACGACTTGCATGACACTCTGCCCTGATGAGGCCCCGACCATCATCCTGCTCTTCACCACATCCAAGGGAGTCGTGACGCCTGCTGCGAGCATGCCGACCGACGCTCCAACCAGCATGGCTTCATGGGGAGCAATTACTTTTCCCTTGGGCGCGCAGTACTTTGCGCTGTATGCTTCTCTAGCTACTTCGTACAAGGGCAGCTGGAGTGCTCGGAAGGGGAGATCGCGAGCGAGCATGCCGCTGAAACCAGTATAGAAGCCTTTGATGCCTGACTTGCCGTAGATTGAGCGGATGACGGAGAGAGTGTCCTTAGCCTGACCAGACTGCATTCGCTGCTTCACGATCTCCGAAGGTGTCAACCAGATCGCTCCCGCTGAGTCTCCCACCACCGCGCTGGCGATGAAAACAGGAAGCTTGGGAGCGTCGGGGTATCTGGCAAACACCTTGGCCTTCATGGTTTCATACGTCCCAAACACGAGCATGCCGTAGGGAATCTGAGGTACACTGTCAGCTGCGTTGACAACCCCGTGCTGCTGTCTACCTGTCCGAGGATTGCAGCTCTGAATCCTGAGAAATGCTCTACCCCAATGTTGTCGAGCCTCCAAGAAATCTTCTGGCCGACCTGCACACACCTATGGCGTCACCACAGGATGATCAAGGACAGCGTCACGGCGTCACCTGAAGTTTCGTTTTGATCGAATCCACAGGAAATAGGGTGCTGACAGCTACCCCACGAGCGATTCCTCCAGCGAGAAGGTGCTGCTTCCAACCAAGAGCTGCGATCGTCGTCGTCTTTGCTACTCCCATAGAAGCTGCACCAACCTGAGAAGAGATCAGTCGAGAGAGATTCCCAGGTGACGCAGGTCAAAAGCACCTTGGCTGCAGTCGCGGGGTTCAAAGCTACAGTTGCAGCTGTTGCAGTAGTCGCAACAACGCCATCCTTGACGGCTGCTTGCATAAGCTCGAGCTCTCTGTCATGCACAATCTGCTGAGCTCGGCGCAAGGCTTCTTTCTGAGCCTCAAGCTGCTCCTGAGCTTCTTCCAGCCTTCTCTGGGCCTTTGGGAATTGGAATTCGATCGAAGACATGCTCCTTTCGTTCAGTAGCAATGTACTTGTATCAGATGGGTTCAGGTAAGATGTTTTTCAAAGTAATCAGATGATGAGAAGCTGTACGAAGTAGGATGATTGTGAGGAGATCAATCAGTTCGATCGGACAAACAGAGTTCCACGGAATCGGAAGTAAGGGACCCAGCCAAGGGATGGATTGAACTACGAAGAAATTTGAGCGATGGAACGAAGCTCGAAGGCGGAGGGAAGGAGATTCGGCAGGATAGAAATGAGCAGATGGATACGAGGAGAGGGAGATGATAGTGGCGAGGAACGAGGTATACGGCTGCAGAGGAACGGAGCAGGAGCAGGAGAGCGTACGATGTCACCTCTAGGCGTCTTCCTGCTTATATTCCGCCCCCCGACCTACCGACACCCCCACCCCTTTCCTGATGACCCACCCTATTGATGTTCTGTCGAATTGAAATTTTACCCCTACATTCCTAGCAAATATTGACTTACTACCCCTGGATTTCAACTGAGTACCCCACATTGAAACAAGATTTCATTGATACTATGTACGGGTGGGGAAGGAACTTCAAAAATATCACCCACCCCCTTTGCATCGACCTACCCGTACCTTCTGGGATACCCTCATCATGGATCACCCTACCCCTTCAAAATCGCAGTCACAGACCATGGAGTGCAAACTCAGATTTGCAAAGATGACGTCTGGGTGGGTGGAAGACTTGAGCTTAAAGGGGGTGGGGGTATGTGGCATCATGACTTGATGATAGGGGAGGAGGAGAACACCCATTTGTACTAATACATCACTTGAGAATTGATAGAGATAGAGGGCAAGGAGGTTGGAATTGATCCTGCTCAGGATGAGATGAGAAGGGGGTTATGGGGTTATCTCTACAAAGGTGGGGTGGTGGCTGGGAGAGATGAAAGTCGATGCCTCTATTGGACGAGGGTGGTACATACCCACACGGCGGGGTACCCCAAAATAACCCGGTCATATATCAGCAAAATGAAGGAAAAGACATGGGTGGGGTTGGTGTGGGTTCACAGCGAAGGGGTGGGGTTAGCCATCGGTAGTGGAACTAGGCGGTTGAAAATGTGAATGGGGGTGACGACTCTCGAGTTGGGTGGTAGAGTGCAAGGGGTTCTTCCTTGACTAGGATGAGGTGGGTGATTTGAGTACAAAGTAGGGGTGGTCTTGATATTTGGGTGTCATGGGAGGGGTTGCTGATTGGTGGGGGTGATAGACGTGATGGGATTGGAGGTCATCGCCACATGGGGAGCACTCATAGGTACCGGTACTTTCCTCTGTCATATGTGGGGTGTGTCATTCTGGAGGGTCTAGAGGGGCCCGAGCGAAAAGAAATGTTTTCGATTCAATACGACTCTTCGATGAGGCGATCCATGACCTTAAAATTTGGAGTCGTGACCTCATATCATCCCTCAAAATTTAAAACTGGCAGGTCACAGCTCTAAACCGTCGCTGCCACCTGCTGCCGGGGCCCGGGACGTGTGACTGCTCAGTGCCGTCAGTGACTCGGGCAATCTCTGGTCCGCCACACCTGCGGTCGCTGCTGAGCCAGTGGGTAATGGCGGCGGAGGGAAGCGAAGAAGGCGAGAAGGAACAGGGTGGAGCTGCCTTAGTGCATTGGGGATCGCCGAGTGGGCTATGGGACAGCAGTGAAGTTGCAAGGTTGGTAGAAGCAGAAGAGAAACTTCTTCACGCTGCTTCCAGGTTGGAGTTGAAAGCTTGGTCCCAGCTTATTCTATGGCAGGAACCTTGCTTCGATTTCTCAGCAAAGATCGCGTCTAGATCGAGGAGGGACTGAGGATCTGATAACTGAGGGAGCTGAGACATCAACATCTACGGGAGATCCATGGAGACAGAGCAAGCTGCTAGAGAGCGAGGGGAGTCTCGAGGATATGCGGTCTCGATTGAGTCTGCTGGAGAAACAAGAGGAATACGTGAAGCTTCAGGTGCAGCCAGATATGAGAATACTCGGGCAGCTCAAACAGTCAAGAGAAGAGGCTCTAAGACTCAGAACCGCCATCGAGCGAAAGACAGCTCACGTGGAACGCTTGAAAGGGTCCCAAGGCCTGCAACATTCATTGGTATGCGATCCATTGATTAACCTTTCACACAAATGTGTCCGTTATGCTACGATTGCAATGATGAATTTCAAGATGGCTACAAGTGCTTTGCTGAACTTGGAAATTGTCAGGCTGTAGAATATTTGTTGAAGGAGCGGATTGCCGAAAAGCGACTCGCGGAGGCAGCGGATGAGTTTCGACGGAAGCTTTGCTCTTGTCAGATTGACATAGCAAACAGAGTTGAATCACTCCGCCTTTGGAAAGGTATGTCAACCTCCCGAGCTCTTGTAGACTTTGACTCGCTACCTGGCGGTTCAGGGCAGTCGAGCTTGACTGAGGGCAATTTTTCTCGGGGGGATGTTGACGCAAACAAAACGACAAGACCTCAGGTTGCGCTAACGGCAGTCTGTGAGGTAGATTGATCAAGAATGATGCAGTCAGCTAGACGAGAGCTGGAAGAACTCGCCATGTTGAAAGAGAAGGAGAAGACACTGCAAGAACAGCTGCGCGTTGTCGAGGAGCGAATGAGAGAAGGATAAAAACACGACATGAATGAACAAGGGAGAGGTCCAACGAGTGTTTCATTCTACACGTAAGATCTCGAGCACTTCAGCAGCCACCTGTTCGACAAGCAGAAAGCTCAAACAATAGCAATGCAACAAGCATCAACTTCACAACCTTCCCCGCACACTCGATGGTGACGACTCGACCGCTTGTGCGACGATGAGCCTGACATTGCAACATTCTCATCGGATCCATCCCCTTCATCTCTCCATCTCTTCCTCACCTGACTGCACAGGTGGGGTTCCAGGTCCCTTCCCAGCTCCACGTGCCAGCAAGACATGAGGTGGACACAACGCTCAGAGACGTGCTGCTCAACTTCTCAGCTGGAGCATCGCACGCACGTCTGCTCTCACCTGCATCAGCAGCCTCCCGAAGGGCACCTTCTCTTCCCGCACCCCTTCACCCACAGCAGCAGGAAGCCGATCGAGGAACGCCAGGAGGATGGCATGGGCTACGGTTGTTCCGTCGGGGGAAACAAGAAAGATCTTGCGTGCGTAGACGTTTCTGAAGTACCTTCACGAGGTGATAGAACATAAATGCGTCACCTCTCAAGAAAAACGCTCTTCTCTACTCTCACTTCCAACCCTCCATGTTTCTCCTGCCAGTCTTTCGTCAGTAAGGGCCTTTCCGGGCAATCCAACAACAGACACCTGCAAGACTTTCGTCAAGTGCTCTTCATGCACCAGAGTCTTGTGATGTGCGACTGATATCTCGTCGGGATGAGCCCAGTGAAACTGAGAGTCCTGCACGTTGCAAGGGGTCAACACAGCGAGAATGTTTGTCTCAACGACAACTTGCGACTCCGGGAAGATGGACGTGAGTCTTTGAAGGAGCTCTGTTGCCTCGCTCTTGGATTGGAGAGACTTGAAGTCACTTGAAGATGCAGGAGGCTGCGGCCTCGGGTTGGCCATGCATGGATCGTCTGCGCACCCAACAGATCAGCCAAGTCGACTTTGGGTTACTAGCACTGACCCTCGTTAGTCTGATTTTCGCGATGACACATTGCGATCTTGGTTGACAGTTGTGGTTGTTGTTCAAACTGTACTTCATGTCAGTCAGACGATAATGATCAAGCTCGCATTTGTATGCTTCGCTTTCCTCTCACTAGCTGCTGTCGTATCTGGCAGGAACCAACTTTCATCTATACGCAGTTGCAAGCTCACTAGAGATGTTTCTCTTGCAAGTCACTTCAGCATCTCCTGCTGTCTTTCCGTGTGCTGTCAACTTCTGCCTGTCTTCCCCTCCCCTGCTGCTCTTTCCTCTGCCCTCCTCCCCCTCCTCCGCTTTCCCTTCCTCTCGCATGTCGCTACATGCATTTGAGGGGATTCACCAATTAAAGCCTACCCCTGTAAACATAACCCTCCACCCTAGTTTTGATAGAGGATGACAGGCCAAAGGACCCCTACTTGTGTACACCCCTACCCGTGTTGTTGTTGTCTCAAATGCCGTGATGCGGGAGCGGCCGGAATGGCGGCGATGCTCCGAGAGCTGGCGAACAAGCGCGATGGCTCTGGCCATGGCAGGTAGAAAGATGTGAGGAAGGAGGAGGAAGGATGGGGCTTGCCGGTGCTTGAGAGCAGCTTGCCCACCAGCCCTTGCAGTTTCGTCCCGTCACGGCTGCTTGAATGGGCTGAGAGTGAGGCAGGTCACCCCCGACTAGGCGCATCCTCCTCTCTTCATGAGCTCGAGGACCTCTTCCCGACGATCATGCAGGTGACAGCTGGTATCGTAGGGCATGTCTTGTCACACGGTGAGCAGAAGGTGATCGAGACGGACGTGTTGGTCCCGGAGGAGCACCATTACCTCGAAGACGCGCTTGAAGTCGCTTTCTGCGGGCAAACAATTCGTGTGCGAGGAGGAGATCACTTCACGCGATGTTGTTCTTGATGCGTATTGTCCCTCGTGTCCTGATGCCGCTGACAGCACGAAACAAGACGCAGTCGGTGGTCGTTCCAGAGGGGGTGAACATTGCGGTCGGGGAATAGTGAGGTGAAGTTAATGTACGTGACGTTCTTGTAGGGAGAGCAATCGGTCGTGTTTCACTTCGGATTGATACTGAGAGGAGGGAGGCAGAGACGAGCAGCTCAGGGACCCTTGGGGCACATCTCAAACGTTGCCATCAGGAGTTCTTGGGGGTCGGGGCTGTCCATCCTATCGGGCAGGTTTCAACATGCCGGACTAGAAGCGCCACGAGGGACTGAAGGACACGACAGGTGGAGGCTCGATGGTTGCGACGTCTCATGCACCATGGGAGGACATGCCAGCGCCCTGCAATGCGAAAATCAGGTTGTGCCATGCAGGCGGACAGTGAGGGTTGGGATGGGAGTGAGAGGGCAAGAGAGAAAGTGAATGTCTTGTGTCATGATGTCAAACTTAAGATGTGGAGAGTCGAGTCTTTCTCTCACCTGCCATCCAGGCGAACGTGATGGCGAAGAACTGCTCTTTCGGGGGGAAATGCAAGGAGCCGGTGGAGTCAAGGTGAGTGTGAGGTTGTTGCTTCAGAGAGTGAGATGGGGATGAAGATTCTCGTCATCTTGGCAAGACAGAGCTCAATTTGGTGTTCATGTCGGCGGGAATGCAGTTGCTGTGCTCGGTGAGAAAAAATCGTCATGATGCATTGATTTGTCTTTCCTATCTGCTCATGACCCCCCTCGTCCTCCTTATCGTTTCTTCTTCTCTCCTTTTCTCATCTAATCCGTCATGTGCTTCTCTGATATGCATTGCCGTCGTGATTGCTAACATCATCATATTTGCTAACACTGCTCGGATTTCAACCATCTAAACGTGATTGATCCTTGACGTTGCTGCAGAACAGTGTTCGTTGCAGCATTGTCAAATCTTTCTCTCTTTTGGGAACAAGGCAGGAGGAGCAGTCTACCTCGAGGAGTGTCAGGTAATAGCATCGTTAGCTCGATCGTTGTTGGTGACGGGCCGAAAGGTTTCTTACGGCGACTACTTACTTTCTACCTTGAGTGAAGGAAGAGGAAGAGGGGTGATATATAGAGCGAACCTTGACTTGATGTGATCATGTTACGCAGACATTTGTTTCGTGCTCGATCTCTTCTCTTCGGAATGGTCTATGGGAAAGCTCAGCTAGAACGGCCATCTTGGCATCAGGGATGAATACAGGTGTTGTAGTTGGACTACATGCCTGATGAGCGATGTTGTTTGAGGCGGGTCGTGATTGTTCGTGATGTACGAAGATGACGAGGTTACTGTTAACAAGTTTTGCTTGCAGTCAACAACAAGTTTGTGAATGAAGATTTCTTTGGCACCAACTGGTGACAAGAGGCGACGTCGGAAAGGGAGAGATGTAAATACGAAACAAAGACCATGTAAGTAGATAATGTGTAAATAAAGTTGTACGTTGAATACCAGTAGCGATTTCATTCAGCATTATTCTCACTCTACCCTGCAGTTTCATTCCAACAACAGAATAACAAGCAAACAAAAACAAGAACGAAGAGAAACAACCGACAGCAACGAGAAGTGTAGGCATGTCTGGTCTCATGCTCATGGCTCATGTATCCCTCCTTCTTTGCTCGCCTCTCTGGTCTGGTTGGAAGTAGACGACGGGCAGCTGGGAAACATCAATCCCATCGTATCTTTCGATCTCATTGACATTCCGCCACCTCTCTCCCAATCTTATCTGATGCAAGTAGAAGCATTTGTAGCTGATACGAAGCAGACAAGCTCAAAGGGCTGAGGAAGCACATGAAACAAGTATCTTTCCGTCCTATCAATGTCGAGAGAGATGCCCTTAAGAATGAGAACATGATTAGTTTAAACGTTGTAGGTGATGCCGAGAATGTGGTCTTCAAGTCTCAAAATGCCATAAGCAAACACACAGCACAGCAACATATCGTGAACATCACTGAGCAACCTGAAACGACTCGCGATTGAGAAGCGTCCGAAAGCTGCCCTGTACCATTGCTATGAGAAACAGAAGAGAGGCCACCGCCTACTCCTATCCCTCCTGCGCTGCCAGCTGATACCGTCCTACATGCCGATGCCCCCGCCTCTGACCACAGCCCCTCCCCGCACGCCGAGCAGTTCCCTTCCCCCGCCGTCTCCTTGTACGTCCCCGCCCTGCACCTCACGCAGTCTCCCTTCGTCTGGCTGTAGTACCCGACCCCACAGCTGCAGTTGGCCAGGAAGCCGTCCCCCGACAGCCCAGCACAGGCCGGCAGACTGGGACTCGTCTGCACCCCCGCCGGCCACCCCCGGTCACACTTCACTGGGTTGTCCGTAATGTTGAAAGCAAAGCTGGCAGGCAGGGCGGCGAAGGCAGTAGGAGGGATGCAGGCGATGCGGTTGTCAGCGAGGCTGAGTTGGCGGAGAGCTGGGAGGTCGACGAGGCTGTCAGCGGGGAAGCTCGTCAAGGCGTTGCCATCGAGGTCGACGTAGCTGAGCTGCGTCAAGCCGTCGAAGAGCCGGGCGGGGAGGGAGGCAAGTGCGTTGGCAGAGAGATCAGCATTGTAGAGGCTGGAGAGGTTTGCGAAGATATGATCTGGTAGAGTAGACAGCTTGTTGCTGCTGATAGACAGGTCGTACATCTGCGTCAGACCGTCGAAAGCTCCTCCCGGTATCTCCGTCAGATCATTCTGCGACAGGTCAAGCTGCCATAGCCCCGTCATCCCCTCAAACGCCTTCCCCGTCAGCGACTTGATCCCCCGCGATGACAAGGGCAGATACCAGACGCAGTCCGTGCTGCAGTTGCCTTGCCGCGTCAGCTCCCCGCCGCTGCTGACCGTGAAGGTACACCCGCCGCATTGCACGGAGTCCAAGGTCGAGACGTAGAGCTGCTGCAGGCTCGGGAGGCTGTTGAAGAGACCACTGGGTACTTGCGACATCTGCAGGTCGTAGAGCACAAGCGTCTGTAGGCGGGAAAGGGGATCGAAGACGCTTGGGGGTAAGTATGACAGATTGTTGCTCTGCAGCATCAAAACCTGAAGGTTGGTGAGGTTTTTAAAAACCCCTGCCTCGAGGTTCCCGAGTATGTTCGATTCCAGATCAAGGTAGGTCAGGCTTGCAAGCTGGTCGAAGATCCCTGACGGCAGAGTAGACAGCTTGTTGCTGCTGATAGACAGGTCGTACATCTGCGTCAGACCGTCGAAAGCTCCTCCCGGTATCTCCGTCAGATCATTCTGCGACAGGTCAAGCCGCCATAGCCCCGTCATCCCCTCAAACGCCTTCCCCGTCAGCGACTTGATCCCCCGCGATGACAAGGGCAGATACCAGACGCAGTCCGTGCTGCAGTTGCCTTGCCGCGTCAGCTCCCCGCCGCTGCTGACCGTGAAGGTACACCCGCCGCATTGCACGGAGTCCAAGGTCGAGACGTAGAGCTGCTGCAGGCTCGGGAGGCTGTTGAAGAGACCACTGGGTACTTGCGACATCTGCAGGTCGTAGAGCACAAGCGTCTGCAGGCGGGAGAGAGAGTCGAAGAGTCCTGCCGGGAGGCTTGCGATCTTGTTGTGCTGCAAGGAAAGAGACTGCAGGTGCACGAGGGGATCGAAGAGTCCGGCGGGAAGAGACTGCAGACTGTTGTAGGAGAGATCGAGAGACGTCAGGCTGGTGAGGTTGTTGAAGAGCCCGGCGGGCAGGGTCTGGAGCTGGTTGCCAGAGATACCGAGGTTGGTCAAGCTTGTAAGCCCGTCGAAGAGCCCTGCTGGTAGACTGCTGAGAGTGTTTCCGTACATGGACAGCATGCGCAGCTCAGTCAGGCCTTGGAAGACCCGGGGGTCTGAGATCTCAGCAATCTGCTTGAAGCTCAAGTACAACGACCAGCAACCTGACCCGCACGGAGCGAGTCTCGTCAAGGTGCCGTTGTTGAGAACGACATACGTGCAGTCTCCACATGTCACTTTGCTCTCAGCACTGGCTGAAACGACGAGCTGGGCGAGTATGACGAGCAAGGCAAGTGTTCTTGGCATCAGTGAAACCTTATGTAGTCGATCTGCATGGCTGCTGGTTGCCATGAGCTTCCTCCGTCTCGTCGCCTCTGCTAAGCCAGTCTCGTGCATCTCCATCGGCCACAGTAGTGCTGGGAATTCGACTCAAGATAGTGAGTTTGATCATTCCGCGCCCGCCTCAGTGCATGTCTTAAGTTTCAAATCAGGACAGCAAGAACTTGTCTATTCATATAATAATAACTTCAGTCTTTGTAAGGCTCCGAGTCGGAACTCACGGTGGTGGCCGCGGCGCCGGGTGATAGTGGGCCCACCGGGCCCGGCGGGGCTCGCGAAATCCACCTTTACTCAACGTGAAGTTGAGTTAAAAATCAGTACGAGGACAAAGTTAAGTTAAACTTCTTTCTCGCAAGATAGCTTCTCACTACTCAACTTTGAGTAAAGGCCTGTAGAGAGCACTCAACGATCGGATGACACTGTTGAAGCACCAGAAGTTGGCTTTCTGAGTCACCAAGATGCTATCAGGACACATCGGTGAAGTGATGATCAAAGGCCAGTTTGAGGCACCTCAAGACCAAGGAACAAACAACATGCTGTACCACTGTACCTTCATTGGGAGGTTGCGAACAGCGTCGGCGTGCGGGAACGTGAGACAGAAGAGGAGGGATGCGGATATTGTTTTCACCATACTCGGATGTATACCTCCGTCGCTCAATCCGAAACCAAGCAACTTCACCATCAGAATTGTTTGTCTCGGCGATACAGATATCATTCCATAGTTGAACGACACCAGGGACCCCCCAAGCGTTTATCTACTACGAGTGTACTTGAACAACCTGATGCTCCTCTGATCCAACAGAACCTTTCACTCACGAACCATGGTGCTTCAAGATGGAAATCTATCTTTGTTTGTATCGTTAGAGGGTATCAGAATAACGTACAAGACAAAAACAAGTCATCAGGTGCACCCGTGGAAGGTGTTACACGACAGCCAGCAAATAGAAAAGCGAGGAGAGGTGCCGACTAGTTGGTTAGGGCAAAGGAATGAGTCCTTGAGTACTCGGCCACGAGGATTTCGATTGTACTCATCAAGAGTTCTAGTAGGGGTGCCTGAGTTGTGCCAACGCATCTCCAACAAGCACGCTTGTGAAATTTGTTGAAGCATTCTTCACTTGACTGCAAAATAGAAACATTGTGAACACTCACAACAACACAACTCCAGCAGACCAATTCTGCCGAGACTTATGCTTCTTGCAGCTGACAAGCATGCAAGATTCATTGCACTCAGGCGGATATAACAAAAGACTTTATTAAACGCAACAACTCTATTCTCCCATCGCAACTGACAAGCGAACAATCTCTCCATTCAAGACACAAAAAGCGTCGGCAATGACCGACAAGCCGCATGTAGATAGCTACCTCTCTGGTATCGCTGCTAATCATCATCCCGATTTGTTATTCTTCTCTCTTTTGCCAGTGTTATCACTGTTCGTGTCTTCCTCGCTCGCCTCGCTCGCGCTCTTCTCCTGCGCCTCTTTCCCCCCTTCGCCCTCCTGACTGTTTCTCGTCCTCCTTACGCTTCCTCCAGTCATGTCGGCGTAAGCTGAGATGACGGGGTCCTCGTTGTGCGAGTACCTGGACCTATAGGAGCTGATCTTGACCATGAGCTCTTCCTTGTCTTCCTCGTAGCTGTGCAGAGCTCGAGGCATGGTCGCGAACTTCTCGCGGAGGTTGAGGAGGTTGACCGAGTCTCTCACCCCTTTCACCTCCTCCTGCAAGCTGCGCTCCCCGTGAGCGTGGTCCTTCTTCCCCGCGTGTGGGAGGATACACAGGTCGCTTGTCTGCACAAGGCTTGCGCGTTTCTGCGGGTTCATGGAGGCGTGGCCGGCTCTATCGTGGTGGAGGAGGTGAAGCACGAGCTTGCTGAGCGACTGATCCAGGCGCTTGTTCATGCTCACCAGCTCGTTGAGACGGTTGGAGATGCTCTTGTGCTGGGTCTGGACCCTCATCTCCAGCATGTCGAGGCGGGTCTGCATTGCTTGAGACAGCGACATTCGTCTCGCAGGAGGCGCTTGCCGGCTGCTCTCCTCCACCTCCTCTTGTTGCATCTCCTTCACTCTGCCGGGCTCGTGGAGCTCGAAGGCGACAGTCTTCCACTCGCGGAAGGAGATGTAGAGGGAGGAACGGAAGAGGCGAGTCAGGATCTGCTTGCGACCTTGCAGCCGTCGGTTCTTGAGCTTGTTGTCCATGGACTGCTGGAAGCGATCGAGAGTCGAGAGGTTCATCTTGATCCCCATCAGCAGCTCCTTTGTGTTCTCGTCCTCCATCGCGTCGATCGATGCGATCATCTGCGCCAATGTCAAGCGGCTACCCCAGAACAGGACGGTGCGAGCAAGCAGACCTTCCTCCTGACGTAGCCGTCGAGCTCTGCGAGCATCATCTGCTCGAAGGCCTGGGGCGTGAGCTCTCCGTCCTCGTCCAGGAGGGTTCTGTCCATGGTGAGCATGTCGAAATCCTCGTGTGTGAGGTGGATGGGGCGAGGGAGCTTCAGCTTCTTGAGCCCCAAGTTAATCTCGTCAAGCGACAGCGAGCCGTTCTCATCCAGGTCCAGTCGCTGACCCAGTCTCTCAGTCCTCAAGCCTGACAAGCTTGCGATGCCTCACCTGGTACAGAGCGTAGATCCTGTTTGACAGCTCGGGGATGGTAGCAAACTCCACCAGACTTGCGAGCAGAGGATCCAGCGGAAGTTCGGTGAGATTCTGCTGACCATGCTTGGCCTGCTCAGACGTCAGCAAGGAGATGCAAGAGAAGAATCGTTTACCAATTCCAACTTCTCGTTGATTTTCCTGTCATTCTTCTCTTGCTCTACCATGGTGATGAACTCATCAAGTAGCACCGCAACCACGATGTTCATCAGGACCTGTCGCGAGCTCAATTAAGTCACATGAGTTAGACCGATGGTCCCACCATCCCCACAAGCAGCATGTACGAGATAAAGAAAAACCCAACCTGCATCCTCGTCGTCAATACCTCTCCACCGACCCCGCTCAGCCTCACCCCAAAGTTGTAGAGGTCGGAATGAGTCTCATAGTTGAGGATGGATCTTGCGATGACAGATCCCCACGCGTCTCCAGTCGAGATCTGATACATCTACAGCGAGCTCAGCAACACGCTACACCCTCCTCTCCTCACCGTGAACATGGATCTCATGAAGCCCCCGAAGAACTCCGGCTGCACCTCATGGAAGAGGTTCGTCGCTATGATAGCGTAGATCGAAGTGACAAGCGACAAGATGCAGAGCGCGTTGATGACGGGGATGGCTGACGAGACTCGCACTCAGTCCCAGGCCTCATGCCTATCAACCTGCACACCTGATGCTACAAGCGCGTTTATCATGATCCTCAGCGATGTCAGTTTCCTATCGACCGGTCAGTCCCTTGGAAGATCTCGTGCAGGCGACAATGTCAGACCTGAAGAGTCGAATCATCTTGAAGACTCTGGCAAGTCGCAGGACGCTAACGCCGATCATCCCGTCTACGAACTGAGAGATGAGAGAGACGACAACGACAACTATGTCTGCCAACAGCAGTCGGTGAGGAGGTAGGTGGACCAGCACCTGCTTCTCGTACCTCCCAAGTTCCATCCGTCATAGAAGAATTGCAAGGAAAAATGACCGAAAACGTTGAAAATCAGGTCCTACGGTAACTATCAACTATCGATGCTCATGCTGGCTCTACCTTACGATGGTGAAGCTGATGTTGAAAACCCACTCCATGGCATAGAAGAAATGAGTAGAGGAAGAGCCTGGCTCCGGCATCACTTGAGCGTTCACCAGCGCATTGACATATGAAGCAACGATCAAAACTCCAACGATGGACTGGCATACCATCCCGTCATAGAAGTCTCTTGCTCTGTGCTGGCACTTTTTGATGAAGGTGTTGTCAATATGATCCATCTCTCTCTGCTTCCGCTTCCTGACACAAGTTTCTAGGATGCTGATGACTCGCTCGTACTCCGCCTGGTCTTCTATCGCCAAGACTGTTGATCGGCCTGAGTTGTGACCGTTCTCTGCTGTCAAGATGGCGAAGACATTTAGACTCTCTTCATCGTCTTCTACTACAGTATCTGACGACGCGATGCGAAAAAATCCTGTCCGAGCCTTGATACTTTTTGTTCTCAGGGATGTCGAGCAAGGGAGCAGTGTGGACTTAACGGTTTCGGGGTGCAAGCTATTCTTACGACTGATAGAGTCAACCTCCAGGAGAGGAATGTAGTCCAGCATGTCGCTTCCCGTCAGCTTCCCGAAACAAATGTTGTCCTCCGTCACCACCATCCGTCTTCCCTGCCAGGTAGCGCCCAGGTTGCTGCCACCAACACCTCTCACGGCGCACTTGCACATGACAAGAGAAGAGCGCACCTCATCGCCTTGCGCTGTAAGTTGATGTCGAGCACATGGTCTTGATCATCTGGAAGCGCGAGGAGCATGTCTTGGCGAACATCTTTCTGTCTGTTCTTGCCTTTCCCGTGCTTTACTCCGATGAAAACAGACGCCATACCTATGCAATGACAACAATCAATAGTTGACATCAGTTGTACCACTCAAAACAGGAGACTGAGTGTAAGAAACCCGACTGTGAGGAGCTGCTAGTGACAGGTATCAAATCTGATGGTTCAAAACTTGTCAATCAGTTTGATTTCTCTGCTAACATCTTTTCTTCTCCTCTCCCGTCACTGCCATCGTTTCTTCTCCTCTTCCTTCACAAGCAGGCAGCCACGGCGAGGGGGTACAGGGATGTGGGGTAGTTGCGACTATCTGAGCAGCCGTAGCGGATGTAGGGGTAGGGGTGCAACGATCTGACGCTAGGATGTGTAAGAGGGGCCCGGGGGTACATATCCTTACATTGCATGGTGGGGGTGAAGGAAGCAGGGGTGGGGGGTGGTTGGGAGGGTTCACTAAGACTGAGTTAAGTCACCATGAAGATTTTCAACCCTCGCACCGCCCATGGCTCGCGAGTCGAGTCCTGGTACTGAACTTTAACTTAACTTTGAGTAAAGTCAGTACACTACGACACATCATGTGACACGGTGGGCGACCTCTGGCTCCCGGGCCTCTCCACCCAAACCTGGACTGGGCTGGTTCCGTAGTACTGATTTTTAAGTTAACCGTTTGAGTAAAGGATTTTGTTCTGGACCGTGACTTCACGATAACTCATCCCTACTGGCAACAGCAGCGGCAGCCCCGTCGGCCTCCCTGCGCTCTCCGGCCCCGCCCAACAGAAGATTTCGGACTCAGTCACGCCGTTCCGGGATTATCGCGCAAGATCTTGCCACCGGTCCCGGTGAACGGGCCCGGCCGGAAGCCAGTGGGCCGACGGTGACCACCGTGACGGTGTGACTTGCACTAGCAAAGTAACGGCTGCAACCGGCATCAAGCAGGATCCCGACGACAGGAGGGAGAGGGGAGGAGAGCGAGAGGGGAGGAAGCGAGTGATGTTTCAGCGCTCCAAGATGCGAGATGAGCACTGGAGGGCTGGTCCAGGAGCGAGAACTGCTGGAGCCATGAGATACATGGCCGCATGGATGAGACCATGGCTCCTCCTGCTGCTCTTGAGTTGGGTTGGTGCAGAGGTGCCTCGTCCTCAGCCTTCAACGCGATATGATGACGTTTGCCATGTCAGCCTCCTGACTGCCCCGTGCCTTCTACCTCGAGCAGCGTCGAAACCGGTGCTTGCCATTAACGGTGCAACATTCTGCCTCTTATCCTGAAACGCCCTGGCAGGAAACAAGGGGATTGAGCTTATGAAGGTCCATGCGCTCTGCCTTCACTGAGAAGAGGATGGGGTGTCGTTGATTTGCTTACCAGGCGGGGAACAAGGAGCAGGCAGCTACGTGACAGCATTCCTGGTCTGCCATCTCCTTCTCACGGTCCGTTGGCAGATGCTTCTGGAGAGCAGCAGATTCAGCAGAGAGGAGCGAGGAGGTATGCCTGAGCAGCTCGTGATCTTCGTATCAATGTCTGATGAGCATGCAAGGTCATCGGGTGGTTGAAAAATGCAGCTCAGGAACTTCAACGTACCAGGAGCGCTGTTCAAGATTGACGGACATGTCCAGGCTAGCGAAGAGAACGGCAACATGCAAGATGCGGTGGAGGCATGGCAGCAGATGTTTGATGTGCAGCAGGTCAGCAGGCGTGCTGTCATGGATCTGAGATGGATCAAGGATGTGACTGGGGTGTTTGTAGTCGATCGACATCGTTCCTGACCTCCATCAACTCGCCAGGATCCCACCGATGCTCATGAAACTTGGTGTGAACGCGCGAGGGCGCGGCATGTAGCTCATTTTTCTCACGTTCTCGCTGCAAGGTTTGCATCAGCAAGCTGTTGATGCTTGGCAGACGGCCATACAGCTGCACCCGAACGCTGCTGAAGCGAAAGTGAGTGAAGGAGGAGGAGGAGAAGGAGGAGGAGAATGGGGAGTATGAGTAGGAGTGGGAGGAGGAGGGGGAAGGGGAGGGGGAGGCGGTGGGGGGAGGAGGGAAGAGGAGCCGGGGTGACTGGAAGTTGGACTATCTACAGGCCAACTTTGGAGCGACATTGCATCAGGTCATTGGATGATGCTTCAAGGACCTTGCTGTGATGGTTGTGCAGTTGGGGATGTATGATGAGGCCATCAAGGTGCAAGCATGCTGCTTGAGAGTTTGTCATTTTCTGACATGATAGGAAAGTTTTACGAGATGTCCTTGCAAGCAAATCCCAACGTGAGGAGATGGAATCCCGTCAGAGTACTCAGGACTGTCTGACGAGCTTGTAGTTGCATGCTGTGTATGAGAACTTGGCATCTTTGTACCGCGAGAAGGGGGAGCAGGATGTCAGGCGCATTGAACTATGATCAATTGTTGGTTCTCACAATTTTTCAACTTTCAGAAAGCTCAACAAGTTCGAAACCGTCTCGAGAAAGTTGTGAGTTGTGTGAACCAACACAGGTGAGTTGTTTATGAGCAGGTGAAGGCCAACAAGTCATCAGGAAAGACGTACATGCAACTACAAGTGATGATGAGATGATGTTTCATTCCTGTAGTTGAGATGCACTTTGCAGGAGATGGGTTTGGACCATGTAAGATGTTTTATCGCACCTTCTCTGCATGCAATACAAGATGACGTGACGAATTAGCTCAACGCGGGGAAGTATGTGGAGGCAGAGAAGTTCTTTCTGGAGGCTCTGGGAAAGGTAAGAAAGGAAGATGGAGATAGGGGAAGTTTTCCATCTTTGAAAGATCTGTTTTCCATCTTTGAAAGATCTGTCGATCATTCAGCTGAAATCTTCAGAGGAGGTGCAAGGGAGGAAGAACGCTCTGATCACTGTGAGTAGGAGGGGGGCGACAACTACGCCATCCACTTCAACCTCGGGCTTGTCTACTTCTTCCTGCGGCAGTGGGATAAGGTTGCAAGACAATCTGAGCTCGCGACTCCCGTCCTTACATGTCCCGCTCAGTCTCTTGCTTCTTACGCAAAATCCCTCGAGCACAATCCGAACTTCTCTCATTCGTGAGTTTGTCGAGGTCCTGTGGCCAGGAGGACCTCTGAGTGTGCGTGCAGGTATCATGGGATCGGGAATGTTTACGAGACAAACAGAATCTACGACAAAGCTCTCGAGAATTTCTTCAAAGTGAGATGAAAGCATCTGACAAGACCTGACCCTTGATTGCAGACGGTGCAACTTGACCCCCTTGCGGCTGATACGTACTTCAACATCGGGACTGTTTACCAGCAGATGAAGCAACACGAAAATGCTGTGTGGAGTGAACTCCCGTGTTTGGAGCGGCCTCACTGAAACCTTCACAAAGGTCATCTACCTCAGGAAATCAGCCGAAATCTCCGAATCTTCCGGCGCTTACATGTACATTGCACACCTTGACTTCACATGTTACAACTTCTTCTGACTCTCCTCCCTCCTTCCCCCGACAGCAACTTGGGGGTCTCGCTGAAAGCGCTGGGGCTGGTGAACGAGGCGATCGGTTCTTGTCGTGACTTGCCAGGACTTTGAGTGACAGTCTGCAGAGTCTTACTACAAGGCTGTCGCCAAGCATCCGCTTCCTCAGGCCTTTGGGAATTTAGCGTCGGCCTTGCATGAGATAGGTAGACCATGGATGTGCAGGAGATGTGAAGTTGTACAAGCACATTTGTGGACGTATGAATTTGGATATGATGATAACGATCACCATTTGTGTCTAGCAAGTTCAGCTGTTCAATTGTGCCGATTTGTGTTTCTTGAGATGGTTTCTGAGTTTTGCTTCTGTAGGCCGAGACAAAGAAGCGATAGAAGTTGCCCGCAGAGGAGTCCAGCTTGACGGGAACTATGCGCATGGTAAGGATGATTGATCGATTCAGATGTGTGATTGTGCGATTTTGTTATTTGCTGCTCGTTCGTGAAGACATGGATATTTGTGCAGATGGTGGAAACAACGACATTGTTTGACCTTCTGATGTTGATTACATTTGCTCTTGTCTCAGTTTCTTTCTTTACTTCCTCCCGAGCCTCTTAATCTCATTTTAGGTTACAACATCCTTGGAACTCTTTTACGCCCGTCAAAAGGAACAGGAGGGACAACTTCAGAGGCCAAGAAGGTCGGTAGTTCTTGTCCTGCCTTGCCTTGGTTTCTTTTCTTCCCTTCCCTCCTCTCGTCTCTTGAACATCTCACCACATGACATCCTTGGCAAGGCTTACGAGACTGCCCTTATCCTTGCACCCACGTTTGTCGACGCGACTTTGAATCTTGTAACAACAATCTTTCGGTCTCTCTGCATGTTTACCCCGCATGCTCTTCGTCCAAACAGGCTGGTCTGTTGGTGGAGGAAGACGAGTTCGACAATGCTCTACGTTCGTGAACATCTGCCCCGTCCCTTGTCAACCTGACTCTTGTACGAAGGTGTTGTCCGAGCGGCTCGGCGTCTGGATGACGAGGACCCGAGGTGTTCGCAGGGTGACAGGAGGTGGTTGCCCTGTTGAGACCCTCCATCAGGCTCTTCATGGAGTATTTCAACCTCAAACGACGAGTAGCGGATTGGAGGTGAGTAGCAGGAGCAGCAGGACGCGAAGGCCTCTGCAATCTGTGACGTGGGTTTGACTGCAGTCATTGGGACCTGAACTTGAGAGAGCTGTCGAAGATGTTGAGGAGGCAGGTTCCTCTCGCTCCCATCACTTGCGTCAGCTCCTCTCTCACCTTGTCGTCAGATGGCAACCAGCCCGAAGCTCAGCCTGCAACCTTTTCAAGCTGAAACTTATCCCATCAGCGGTGAGAGGTCGAGGAGTCCGCAGACTTTCACTGATGCTTGCACGGACTAGTCGAGCTCTGCCGAGATATTGCCGCGCATTTCTCCAAGCAGGCAGCCAGGGTCTTGACATGAACATGAGGGGACGCGGCTGGTGCTGACTTGCTCTTGTTCTTGCTCACAACAGCGATCTGTCCACATGCTTGAGACGTTGTTGGGTGAGTGAAGCAGGTTGGAGAGGAGGTCGAAGATCACAAGGAGACAGGGGAAGGAGGAAAATTCGACATCAGCGAGCAGAGGGAGTGGAATCCCTCAAGGTTGTTGTTTGTTCTTTCCTACCCTGAGTGACATGAAGGCGAAGGCGGGTCAAGGTTGGATACGTCTCGTCCGATTTCAAGCAGCATCCTCTCTCCTACCTGATTCAGAATCTCTTCCTATTTCACGACAAGTCGAGGTGAACTAGTTCCCTCCAGTGGCCCTGCCCTCCCCCTCCCTGTTGAGATCAGCTTCCTCCAGGTTTGAGATCTACTGTTACGCGACCTCTCCCAACGATGGCTCGATGTACCGCAAAAAGATATCGGAGGAGTGCGAACACTTTGTTGAGGTCAGTCCCCTGCTACCTCATCGTCCCGTCAGCACGCGAGCGCTTTTCTGACTCTCCCCGCTCCTCCCTCCCTCCCTTCCCTCCCTTGTATCCCGCACTGACTGACTGCCTGACAACCTTCACCTTCCCCCCCCCCTCCTTCCTTCCTCCTCTCTCTC